AAACAGACCGACCTCTGCCGGAAATGGTGGCTTCAAACGAGGCTTGCCTTGTTTGCCTTCCAACGACTCTAGTAACGCCTAAACGGCACGATAATTGACATTTTAACAACGCCGCCAGCAACCGTCTCTTCTCCACAAATATATGCCCCTGCACCGCGATGGACAAATATATCGAAGTCGTACCCGGATCCGCATGCGTTTCTTCCAATCAGACCAGCTTTATAAGCCTACAGTTGAATCCAGTTTACATTATTCACCATCTTTGACTTAAGTTACCTCTTGAATTGCCAACTGCAGATTGTTTGCTTCGTTGTAAAACTCACCTCGAACGTAAATGTACGCAGCTCTTGCACCCATAGACCTTCCGGCAATCAAACATCCTTCCAGTAATTTGTGAGGATCATGTCGAAGTATTTCACGGTCTTTACATGTTCCTGGTTCACCTTCGTCCGCATTTATCACCAGATACCTTGGTCTTTAAACAGCCTGTCAGTTAATTATGAACAGAGAAGCCATACCTTCCGTCAAAAGGATGATTCATAAAACTCCACTTTAGGCCAGCAGGAAATCCTGCACCACCACGTCCCCTTAGGCCAGACTTCGTAATTTCTTTGATAATCCAATCCGGTCCTTTCAGCAAAATATCTTTCGTTTTGTACCAGTCGCCCTGAATACATAATTAACCTCATGCATGTCGATCCTCTGTAAAACCGCAATGGTCGAAATTTCAAGTTAAAAGGAAACATACAATAGGACGGACAGGTGATATGAGGCACATTTTACTGGGCATACAATGAGCAATGCTGTGCTGGTACTTATGAGCCATATAGTTAGAAACCCGATCTTTGAAGAGTCGATGAAACTAATCTGAGCATCGCCTGGATACTTTGAAATTCTTCACTTCGCTACTGGCTATACTGAACGAAGAATATTAATACGTACAATGGAGCCGGAAAAACAAACAACAGAACCACTGAATAACTGAGCAATAATTCAAGAGTAGAGAACTTCGTCGACTCGAGTTCAAAGCAGTGCAAAAGAGACAAATGTCCGTCAGACAGTAAATGACTATAACACATAGTGTTCGACAGAAATTGCATATTTTATGCCTCTCAAAATGTTGTTTCATCCGCAAAATTAAGCGAAGTCAAAGCTTGGACGAGCTTCATAGTGCACTATGCTATTCGTGACAGTACATTAGTAGCGCATCTGATTGAAGACTGCTTAATGACATGTTCCAGCAAAAGTGAGTGCTGGAAGTGACTCTGAAGCAAAACTGCTACAGGCTTTTGATAAACGGCTCCCTGAAGAAAAGATCCATCTCAAGGGCCAGGATCACAAGGTGACAGCAAAAGTCCAAGAAAATATTAGCAGCATTTATAGCAAAATTCAAGACTTTCTTAACTAAGGACTTGCCGTCAATGAATCTACAGACTGACACAACGCAGCCGCTGTACTTTTTTAAATAATTTCGCAGATACAGATAACTATTTCAGGGAGGATTTTTAAGTGCCAATATTTGGCATACATTCTGATATGCCCTTTAGTCAGTTATCAGGTGGGTCACGGCGAACTTTAGGCCGGAAGGCGCACTCATCAGACAGCATGATAGTGTCTAATACGTTATAAGGTGATCCAAATAACACGCTGTCCTCACAGTCTGCAGGACAACGATCTGCTACACGTTATTCCGCTGGTCTTACCGAAGCGCAGTGAGGCAAATTCCTTTCTCAATGGAGTTTGCGGTTAATAAGAAAATTGAAATAAAAGTTTATAACGCTGCGTTAAGACTTTGAACTGACACTTTTAAGCACAAGCAAACGAGCAATCCAGTATCCCACGGCTTTCCAAACTATGATCGTAAAAAACGGGATCCTTTAAAAGATTTCTGGTTACTTCGCAACAGACCCAAGATGATACGGATCACTGAAGAAAAACGAGAAAACAGCTACACAAACTATATGACATGAACCGTGATTTCAGTAGCACACTAGCACAATGGGACTATGGCCATGTTTCATGTGCTGTCTTTGTCCATTGCTATTACAATTCATACAGGATGACTCTTAAAATGAAATACATCAGACTGCATTGGAACGTTGCTCACGACATGCAAACAGCACATTAATTTATCGATGTCGTGAGCGATCCAGATCTGTCATCCACGATTTCTAGTGCCATTAATTTGTTATATTTTTGTCTCGGACTCTATTTCCATACGATGAAGCAGTTCATTTCCAGCACTATCACTTGCGCCCTGATGGTTATATCGACGCTACTGTGTCGTAGCAAAACAGATAGGCAATAAAAGCTTTGGCATCACTTTTGCTTGTTGTCCTGAATCACGGATAGTCAAACTTGTTACAGCTCTAACATTTGGCCCAGAATCGAACAGTGAAAGAAAGCAGAATAAGTCGTTTCGCCAGCTTAAAATTCTACCTGAACCAGCAACGTTTCACGAACACCACTGCGCCGGTTTCAGAAAGTGGACAGAATTAGTAAATTATCTGTAGATGGCAGGCGCGTTTCAAACACTACCAGTGCCTGGCCTGTTTCTTAGGACAGGTTGCTACGAAGTTACACTGAATACCGAACTACTGGAGGCCAAAATACTAATAATATTACATCTCCAATCAGCAGAGTTCGCCTCGTCTTTTGCGTCAAGTTGCGCATTTTGGTGAACCGCAGTAGTTCATAAAACCGCAAAACTCCCAGCCACGCAAAAACTGATGAACGACATTACTGAACTATATATAAGATTAAGGCTGTTTTAACATACTAGGGCAAAATGCATAACAATGGAATGTAATGGAATGCAGGGAGACTACACTTCATCAGCGCAATGGTACCCAAATGCATACTTAGACTTACAAACACAACAAAACTAACTTCAAGAGCTGAAATTCACTGACTAGTGGCTGATGAAATAATACGGGGCCGTGAAACCCATAAATTATCCTGTATGTCCCAAGAAGACGCTGCAACAACGCCGTGTTAAGTCCAGAGACCGGTGTTGGAGGCTAAGAGGTTCATTTAGAACTACTGCTGTTGTAGTAAAAAGACCAAAACCAGAATTGCTCACAAAACCAGCTAGTATGACGATAAGCACTTACCCTTGACAAAGCTCCCTTGAGCTTAAAGTCATGACGCCCATAGAGATTGGTGAATATTCGGTCTTCGTCTTTCAATCCGCCGTAGTGAGTCTAGAAGTTAAGGTTAAAAATTATTAATTAACATTACTAAATTAAAATGCGCTCTTTGCGCCTAAAATCTCCATTTTGTATATAGACAATAATTAGACTAATCTGTCAGTCTGACTAATCAGACCTATTCGAAAATCATCTGACACAATTAAGAATGAAATGTGCAGCTATGTCCTTTGTTTCTTGTGATAACTAACTTGAGACACTTCCATTAGCTGAAGGTCTTTAATTTTTGATGTCAACGTCATTCCACATTTTTAGCACTTTCGCTCCGTATCCACCGTTTACTGTATTTGTAAACGACAATTACTCTGTGAACGCAAATTTGACCCTGATATTCCTCCCTGTTGCATGCTGGCTTCTTGGATGATATCGATGTCCAAACAGTTTGCCTAACATGGTTAACCTTAATTTCCTAATCTCTACATCCAGTAAATATACTTGAGCCTGGAGCAGCCATTCATTGCATGGTAAAAACTTGTCGACCTTCTATGTCGTTTCATCCTCCTGCTGAATTTGCGAATCTGTCGGATGGAGTCGATAACATTTTCTTTAAAAGTATAAAGCCTTCTGTGTGTGCTGTATACGAAGCCGTCAAACGGTGGTGCCTGTACTATTCCTTGCACGTTCTATACTACTCAAAAAGACATCATCAGTAACAGCGTACTCCATGTCAGCAAGATATCTAACAGGATATTTTGATCTGTGCTTCCCTACTAGAATGAGACTTTCGTTTTTAACAGGTTAGCACTCTCTTAAAGAAAAAAGCAGATGTTGCGTAGCAACGACAAGAGCGCAATTCCTGAACGGGTCCTGCCGCTAATAGGTAACAACTCAGATAACTGTCGTTCGGTAGCACACAAGACTTTTGCATACATCTCTTCCAAAAAGGTAATAACGAGACAGAAACTCCACTGTTTTACAAGACTTTCCACATCGTTTTGCAATGCAATGAATCAAACACAATTTTGATGTCAATACCGTGTGTGAAACCCACAATTAACCAGCTCAAGGTATTAAAAGAAATGAAGGGTTTGGAAAAAG